TACATAAAACTGGTTTCTTAGAAGTTTCGACGCCATGTTTTGGGTCATAATGTCTTCTCTCTGTTTCTATAACGATGAAATATTAAAATGATAATTTAACATTCCCAGAAAAAGTAAGTGAAAGTTTATCTATAGAATTGACATTGTTTGCCAGTTATATTTTTAGTCCCATTATCTTATTACAATAGAAATAACACTGACTTATTTCTCCATGTTGATCACAATTATTCTATGAAAAAGTAATTAATTAAGTTCGAAATTGGAAGTCTAAATCAGAAGATATTATTTATAACTCCGATTGTATGGCACGCGTATAATCACAGAACAGTATTCCGATATTATATATAAATATATATATCATCATCATCATCAACAGCCTATAAATGCCCACTGCTGAGCAAAGCCTCTTCTCACACGGAGAAGGTTTGAGCATTAATCACCACGCTTGCTCAATGCGGGTTGGCGATTTCAAACTTATAATTAGAAATTATAAGTCCAGGTTTCCTCACGATGTTTTTCCTTCACCGTTTGTCAGTGGTGTCTACATAATCTTAGAAAGTACATATAACTCGGAAAAAGTCACATTGGTACTTGCCGTTCGTAGGTTTCGAACCCGCACCCTCATGCATGAGAAGTGGGCATCTTAAACCTCCGGGCCACCACCACCACCACCATATATATATATATAGTTAAAATAAAATATAACAGCTAGTACAAGAATAAGTAAATCACCTACCAAGCTACAACCCAAGTTGGTATAAAATAACATAACATAACATCACACCTTTTATCTCCGAAGGCGCAGGCAGGTACACATTGCAGCACTTAATGCCACTATACAATGTAACACCCACTTTTCACTATTTATTTTATGAGTCCCATGTAATAGAATAGGGGGTATTGCCATATCGGTATATTTCCAGACTCCGTGCTAGTACAATTTTTTTTAAAAACCCAATACTGTGCCCGACCCGGGAATCGAACCAGAGACACCTTGCCCGGCAGTCGCACTTGCGACCACTTTATTTAAATTATCCCCCATCACAGTCGTCAAGCGACGAAACTTTTCCACCCTTTCAAATAGATTTGAATATAATAGCATTCATCATACTAATGTTACTGGTAATGACTTGACCTAAATATATAGAAGACACATAAAAGCCATAAAGACTTTTCAAACCGTTCACCCGGCACATTCCATAGTTTTTATTTACAAGTTAAAATACCCCTGCATACTAACCCCCTTCACTTCAATTCTAAACTTTAACTTAAAGAAAAACAGTTCATTTTCCATTTCTGCCATCATCTAGTGCTTTTATATCTAAATTCTTCTGTCTGTCATCTGTAATTGTAGCCTTATTGTTGAAATGATAGAGTTTATTTTCTATTGGATTGATAGTTTGTAGTGAGCCCATGTTTGCTTTGCAACTAGACTTGGAACGATCGATGAGGCGTTCTCGACTGAGATTTACTATTAACTTGGATAACTTTATGTTTGTGTTCATTCTAATTGCTTGACAATTTAACTTTTCTTTGTAATGGGTTATTATTTATTGACTTTTTAGTAGCTATTTTATGATTTCTAGTATGTTTTTATAGTTACATTCTAAGTAGTTATTAATTTTCTTTATTTAATTGTACTTAATAATAGAATTGGTTAAGCAAATATCGCAATGACGTTCGTATCGTTGATGACAAAGCTCTCCGTTTTATTAGGGAACGATATGCAATTGCAAAATGTAATGCAAAAAAAATAAATAAAGTACTTTAATTAAATTCTTCTTAGCTTTACTTTCAAGAAACATCCTAAATAGTTATTTGCAAATAGGTTACTATTTTAGGTTTTCATAACATAACATAGCATAACATCACGCCTCTTATCTCCGAAAGAGAAGGCAGAGGTGCACATTACAGCACTTAATGCCAATGTACAATGTACCACCCACTTTTCACTATTTAAGTCCTGAGACCCATGTAATATGGGGTGAGCCTATTATCATATACCGGGCACAGTTCCAGACTCTGTGCTATTACTGGGAAAACCCAATAATACTTTGTCCGACTTGGGAATTGAACCCGTAACCCCTTGAGCGGCAGTCGCACTTACAACCTCTCGGCCAACGAGGCAGTTTAGGTTTTCCTTTTTTTATTTAAATATTATTTTAATTTTTGTATCATGAATGTATTTTTATGCAAGTCTTTCGTTTAATAAATACTGTTTCGTTGCTATTATTTTTTAAATTCTTCCCAAGGGAATGTAACCTAAAATTGTATAGCCAGGAATACTTTTGTCTGAACGTTCTGATTTATATTCTCACCACGAACCATTCCTTCGTCTCCTCACTCCATTAAGACACGTCCACGACTGTCGTTGCTCTGTAATGGGTGATTTCCTTGAATGGCTTCCTTACGGTGATGAAACGTGACGTGTCGTGAGCGACGCATATAAAAGTAGGTATTTAGGTTTTTTTAGGCTCAGGCTATATAATTCGATGGTGTATGAAAGGTGTTCCTACCTAAAAGGTTAGATTATAGAAGTCTACTTGTTTTTCACCCCTAGTTAGGGCTCAGAACTAATTAATCAATTTCAATCCTTCTTATATGATAAATGAAAAAAAAAATATGTTTGTTTGTTTGTCCCTCACGTGAAAACAGCTGAAAGGATCGGAATGAAATTTGGGACAAGGGTAAATCATCATCATCATCATCATCAACAGCCTGTAAATGCCCACTGCCGAGCAAAGTCTCTTTTCACACGGAAAAGGTTTGAGCGTTAATCATCACGCTTGCTCAATGTGGGTTGGCGATTACAAACTTATATTAAAATAAGTCCAGGTTTCCTCATGATGTTTTCCTTCACCGTTTGTCAGTGGTGTCTAGATAATCTTAGAAAGTATATACAACTCGGAAAAAGTCACATTGGTACTTGCCGTTGGTAGATTTCGAACCCGTACCCTCATACATGAGAAGCGGGCGTCTTAAACCCTCGGGCCACCACGACATTTTCAAGGGTAAATATGAAATAACACAAGGCCTACTTTTTATTTCACGGGAAGGCGGGTGACGTCACTAGCAGAAGCTAGAAACTTATAAATTCCAACCACTAACAATTAATTATCTATGTAGCATCTAATTAATTGTAGAAAAATAATCATAATGTTTGTCTTTGTAGTTGTAAGATAAAATCCTGATCTTTCGGATATAATTTACTGAAACTCTTCAAAATTACGAATTTATTTATTTGTTTTATTTATTTATTTAATCTAGATCTTTGGTGTTACATTTTTCTCACATGATTAAACCAACAAAACAATGTAGCCAATAATATTGTATTGTGAACCTGATTGAAAGAAAGTAACCAATGGAGTTTCTTGCTCGTTCTTCTCCATAGGAATCTACACTTTGGAACGACCAAATAGCTTCGCTACCCTAGTGACTAGACTAGAGTAGACTAAGCGATAGACTGACATTTTTTTAAATACCAATTTCAATATATTTTTGGCGTTCAAAAGTGCCTTCCTGGTCCAATTGAAATAAATGATTTGGACTTTGAATAAGAGCCACAACGTTTAAGAACCAATTACAGTAACAGTGGATTTGTATGACGGAATCAAAAAATCCCACTCACTTTTAAAACGAATAATTTACCGTTCATATATTGTATTGTAAAATATATCGTAGGACATAACGCCTACATTTATAACTGACTACAAGGATAAAGCTGGGTACACACATGCGTTCATAAATCTTCCGTAACTGCAACTTGTGAAAATGCATCGCGCTAGTGATACATGGATGCATTTTTCTTTGTTGATGCGAGCTTCGAACTATGTGGCTAGTTTGAGTAACGTTTCTGAGTGATAATGTCATTGCTGGACATATATTTTTGTATACAAGATGCAAACGAACCGCTTTCGAAGAACGCCGACAGGTAATGGTAAAAAACAAGCTTTATTTTATATGTAAAATCACGCCTTTTATCCCCGGCATTACGGCACTTAATGACACTGTGCAATGTAATACCCACGTTTCACTATTTATGTTATGAGTCCCATGTAATAGGGGGAGAGCCTATTGCCCTATATCGGACACAATTCCAGACTCTGCTAATACTGAAGGGGTAGGCAGAGTCTGCCTACCCCTTCGGGGATAAAAGGCGTGATATTATGTTATGTTGTGGAGGAAAGTGTTCTCATTTTGTGAGATGGTAAGTTCTCTTCGTTTAGCGGGATTGTGAGAGGACTGATCCTGCTCGTAGAAGACGCGGAGGTGTCTGCCTTGGCGTGGGGGGTTCCGGAGCAGGTCTATTATAGAGGACTTGGTGCCCCCCATAGGTGATAATGGTGGCCACCGGGGTTTTAGTGAGGTAAGAATCCCACACTCCCTAGTTTTCTATCTCCAAAAAAGCTAGGCACCTTTCCAAGGTTTCCCCCGTTATCAAAAAAAGGTACTTATATTCAAAATTCCCGATAAATCAAAACCAATGCGCCTGCATCGCATTTACTAAAAGCCACCATACATATTACTTCAACACGTCACACCTGTCTAATATATTTTCCAAAAAAAAGCAAATATCCTGTATCTGAGTAAAGTTATTTCTTACGGGAAATTGTTTCTTTTGCACCATCTCCTGAGAGTAACCGCAGTTTGTCATGCTATGACATGTTCGTGCCCGCTACCGTATATCCACATAGGTACACACGATAACATACCGAGTTCTACATTTCCAGTTTATCATGGTCTAGCTTTTTATGAACTTCCCTCACAATCGACGGTCAGATTACACTGGTTAATAATAGTTTCATGGGAAGTCATGTTTACCTGCTTAATCAAGGGGAACAACAAATTTCGAAGGCACTGATACTATTTATCTGGATTATACAAGAGTCTTTGAGTAGTTAATGACTTACAATTAATGTTTTTTTTTTCAGAAAATGACTACTGAAGTCTCTGGGAAAAGTACCTAGGTAAAATAAAATTGGTAACATGTTATCTTCACTTTGTAATAAAGAACGTGTAGTTGACATAAAGTTACGTTTATTACAATAAAAATAAATACATGTACACTAAAGCTAATTATTTTAATGAACACTAAACGACCTGAATAGCCCACAGGTATAAAAAATAATTTACATTCTCTCTTTAGTTTATAACGTTTGTCTGTCTAATTATAACATATAATTTATTAGAATAAAAATCTAATTTACATTGGACAATCATTATAAAAAATTGAGCAACTGAACTTATAAATAAATCTATGGATTTGAACAATCTAGTAAAATATCCAAATCCTAACAGTCTTGATCTAAGCTTCTGATACGCTCTCTACTTCTATCACGTGTCTGTGCTTTCTCTTTTTATGAATCCCTTCAAACTCATTCTGTATCTCTTCTAGCGTCCTGCCTTTTGTCTCCGGCACAAAAAAGAAGACAAACGCAATCCCCACAATACAAACTATACAAAAAGCCCATAAAGTCCATCCATGTTTCACCATGTCTACCAAATTCTGGTAAAATTTCGTGACACAGAACGCCAAGAACCAATGGAATCCAGCCGTCAAAGCTGTTGCTCTTCGTGTCATGTGAGGTGGGAAAATTTCCCTAAGCATCAACCATGGGATAGGCCCGACACCAGATGCATAGAAACTTACGAAAAGACATAGAGTGAACAGTGGAACCCATGTGCTACTTGGAGAGAAGTTCGATGCCTTCAAATGGTAATAGATACCCAGACCAGCTAAATTTACAGCCATAGCTGCGAAAGAAATCATCAAAAGTACTCTCCTTCTGACTCCTTTTAGAAGCATAGTGGAAAAGTACGTAGAAGAAACGAAACAGAAACCCAAAATGATAGCAGCACTTGGAGGATTGAGAGATATAGCGAATGTTTCAAATATATTCTTAGCGTAGAAAAGGACAGGGTATATGCCACTCATCTGTTGAAAGACCATAAGTAAGAAAGAGACAACAAGAGCTTTGACTGTGGACCTGGTTCCAAAGAGTTCTTTAAAAGTGACTTTGATCTTGGCAGAGTTTCTAAGGCGTTCTTTCAAAGCTTTCATTTCTGAGTCAATATCGTTGTCAATGCCTCTGAAGTAGCGTAAAGCTGCCTTTGCTTCGTGGAATTTCCCTTGTGACATCAGATAGGCTGGTGATTCAGGGAGGAAGATGAAGGCAACGAAGAAAGCAGTTGGTACGCTAGCGCAGAGTACTGTCAACCATGAGGTGTTCTCAACCAAACCTGCAAAATAAAATTAGTAATTGAAAATTGGATTTGATTTGTGAATAGCAAACAATAGAATCCCAATGTACATATTTTAGTCTTATATTTAAAAGTGTATGGAGTATTTGCTCACCAATAATATATCCAAACAGGACACCGCAGCTGAAGTGCACATGGTAGAAGTTGGCAAGTGTTGGCAGTATGTGCTTCTCAGCTATATCTTCAACGTACGGTGGTATACCAACACTAAAGGCACCCAACGCCATTCCACCCACAAAGCGCCCAACGTACAGACCGTACACATTTGGACTGGAAACACAAAAGGTAGGATAGTTAAGTTATTTAGTTCATTCTTGGATAATAATTTAGAAGTAATTGTATGTTTTTTTTATTGTTTCATTAGTGGTTGACAGAAAAAATCGACTTAGAAAAGCTTTTACTATTTTTAAGTCGTCCCTAATTTAATTTTTTCTGTAGATAGACATATCGTCGATTTTTCTTTGTCTAAATAGGTTTTAAAAGCTAAGTACATTCACTAACCTTGAAGCGACGAGTATCCAGGATACCACTAGTGGGAGAGCCAAGTAAAGCAGGGTCTTCTTTCTTCCGAAGTACTCTGAGATGAGTCCAGCCGGCCCTGCGCCCCATAGTGCTCCAAGACACAGTAAAGATGCAACCCAAGATGCTTCTGATGGAGTGAGCTGTAATTCAAAATTATTGCGTCGAGTACAAAAAATAGTGTTGAAATATGGGCAAGAGTTTGTTATGTACGTACATCACTTAAATATATAATAAGTATGATTGTCAAAGAGGGGGATTTGGGTCCGATTTTCAAGTCAGTGAAATTATTATTGCGTGTTCAATTTTGATGTTCTCTGTTTTGCTGCAGAATACCATAGTGAAACTACGCAAAACACAACTGATGGCAATAATTATAGTGATTGATATTCACATTTACTTACATCTTAAGAATACGGAAAATTAAATTTTATATTGTAGGCTAGCAATTTTAAAACCAAATAATAAAAGCCTTTACCAATAATAATAGTTATCCAAGAATAAAATAACCAGAAGCCTAAAGAATAAGACTAACTTACCGAAAGTTTGGTATGTGGAGGTCGAAGTAAGGTTGGTGTCGTGTTCTCTATGGCAATTATATCCCGGGTTGGCGACGGTGGCTGAAACATACGTGTATTTATTGACTACATTTATCTTGGAGAGAAATAATAACTCGGATACAGTGGTAGTTTGGGAATTGGTTGATTAGCTCGCTTATACGCGTGTCAACTAAGTGGGGGCTGTGTTTTGGTCAATTAGAGTAGATGCAAGCTAAATATAGGTGCATATTTCATTTTAAATCCACTCTTAATTTAAAGTACCCTGGGGGATTAAGGCAAGTTTAATACCTTGTACTGAACATGAACTAGTTAAAGTTAGTTTCTTTCAAGTTTCCAATATTTATAGTTTTAATATGGTGTTACAGGTACTCGAATAAAAAGTAAATAGTGAAAAGATCATATTAGGGTGCGTCCACATCGGCGAATGTGCCGCTCACGAGCCGTTTGCGGGCTGCCCGCGAGCTGCACTCGTGTAGTCACGGCTGAACTCATACAAGATTCGTATAAATAATAATTTTAAATGCACGAACGCAGCTCGCGAACTGTGCATTCGCCAAATGTGGACGCATCCTAGATTTCATAATACAATATAAAACAACACGATAGTAATATTTTGTTGGTAACTTGTAATGAATATTATGAAAACCAACAAGCGACAAATTAAAACCATTCATTCATGCTAAACCAACAAACCAAAACTACATTTCGTAAAATGTGGTTGCAAACACAGGTGCAAGTTAAATAAATAGCCCAAGTCCATGTTCGCTAATGAAAACAGGTACATATACGGTGAAAGTACACAGAAAGAAATTGTACTACATTAATTTAACATGTCATTTATTAATTTTTCCTTTACAAGTACTGCACATAACATTAGAGGTTATTTTGCAACTATTATTATATGCTGTTGTTGTTTTTTTTATTTATACATAGTCCAAATTCGCGAATCTAACATACCTACACTTAATGGCCGCATAATTACTCATGTCAAGACTGTGCCAGCCAATTAAGATTTTGCGGGATTTTTCCGCGAAAACTTGAATTATCTACATTTGTCAGATACGCGGAATTATCCAATTCTAGTTCAGCGGATTCGCTTTATCACCAACGACATTCATTTAGTATGTTTGATCCACAGTATTTTTGTTGTGATTCAAAAGTAGAATAATTAATTATTTTTATTTAAATAAACTAATTATTTTATTGGAATTAATTTCATTGTTGATACTAAGAATCTGTATCAATATTACCGTCTATGTTTAAAAACACTTCAAAATACGGTAAAACTCTATTGAAAACCGATTCAACAATTCACCTAAACTCACAATAATTTTAACTTAAAAGCTACTTTATTCCCAAAAGACTATCCAAAGATAAATTCCCGGTTCAGTATCAAAATTACGGTAGCAGTAAAAGCAAGGAAGATCACTACCATATATTTAGAAGTTGCTTCGCTTCCGAAGTTCACTGTTCATGTTACAGTACTGTCAACAGAACTAAAGTTTGAACACACGGCAACATATCAAGCTAGACAGATCCAGTTTATCATGGTCTGGCTTTGTATGTTCTTTTCGCATATTCGAGGGTCAATTTATACTGGTTTAGTATAACTTGATCTGTGCGTAGATACTCTTGAAGCCAGTTGATTACTGTGAAGTTGCTTAGATGTTTCGTTTCTTGTCTAGACATATAATCATAGGTAGGTTTAAGATTCAGCAGTTTAGATATCAAAGTAATAATAAGATTATGTCTTCTAATAGATCAGATTTACTGCCGTGTTTAGAACCATTTAATGGTGACTTAAGCCACAGTAATATTGTCATACAGTATTGTGACAGAGTTAAATAACTACAGCCGCACGGTACGTACGTACATCAGCTACCTGCCAATAAAAGTCATACAAAATTGGTCCTGCTATTCCGGAGAGTAGCTAGTACAAACAGACAGACAGACAAAAATTGTAAAAAAAATATTTTGGTATGTGTATCGTATGTATACTCATACACTTGTAGTACAAAGCGGTTATTTTAATACTATAAACAGATACTCCAATTTTATTTATCTATAGAGGTAGATGATATTACAAAATGGACTAAAATGTAAAGGCAAGGTTTAGATCTACTTTGTATTTTAAGTACAATAATGATGAGTGATTGACAGTTTGTAGACCCATTTCAAACGTATGACAACTTCTGCTGCCGGTAATTCTAAAAATGACATACGCAGAAGTTTTGATTTAAAAAAACGTACACACCCTACTGCTTCAGAAATGAGATGGCAAATTACACCTTAATATGCACATAATAAAATTAAACCCAGCATACATAATTATCATGTACTAGACTGATAGTAAGTACAAATAACCTTTTTACACGAGCCCATATTTTCACTGACACAAATAACAACAGTTTACTCCACTTGTTTATTACAAAAACAATCAATCAAAAAGAACATTGTCATGATATCCTCATGATCGATCACCGAGACGGTCAGGAGATGATTAAAATAGCCGTATTACATCAAATTGATCCGACAGACAATAAACCTTTTTTGATGACAATACTGTAGGTGTTTGTTGAGAGAGTAAAATTTTAGTATAATCCTTTTGTGTTTGTCTATTTTTTGTGTACTTTAATATTAGATGTTCTGCTAATATTACAAATGCTACAATTTATTTCTTTGTTAATTTGGTTACTCGTTCACGTCAAAATCGATAAAATTTGGAACAGGGTAGATTATGCTTTGGAAGCACACATAGGCCACTTAATATCCTACGAGAATACAATCGAAGCTGCTGGAGGCTTGTACGTAATATTTTTGGAAATACAGAAAGATGCTACAAAATGTCGAGTTCAATACGTAGTTACAATTCTGTTCGCTGACCTTTCTATGAAGCTTTAGTAATTTAAAATTTCCCAGGACATGATACGTTATGAAGGTAGTCGAGACTTCCTCTAACTATATAAATAAAGACAGACTGAACACTGAACAATGACCAAAAATTGCTCAATAGTTGAAAACAAAGAACACTGCATTTATAAAACTACCGAGTATATTACTCAAGTCTGCAATTTTTCTTGACTATCTTTATCTTCATGTCAAACAAGAAACGAACAATTTCATCAATTGTACAACAAGTTTGCGAAGCAACCATACTTGGTGTGATACCATCAAAATTATTTGGCAATGCAGCGCTATCTACTAGAATAAGTGTTCCGTTTTCCAGAAAGATGGAAACGTTGTGGATTAAATCGCAAATTGTGGACTTTGAACTTCTTTACTGGATAACTTAGAATATTTTACAACAGAAAATATGAACCTTTTCTGAAACAACGAAACTCAGAGCACGTATGATGTTATTTGAAGCTTTAATACGAATGACAGGGTTAGAAGAAAATGCAACGTAAATAAAATTCTAGTACCAGTCCACGAAAGTATCGAAAAGTTGGCTAATGGGGATTCATGTTGCATGTCCAACGATAATTCAATATTGGAACCGACTTTCGAGATCCCAGACAACTCAATAATAGGTAAAATTGGAAAGAGCGTACAGAAAATATGCTTTACCTGCATTGCGCATTTTAAGGTTTATAATACAACGGAAACTTTTTGTCAGGACATGCAAAAATAAACTTTATAGCGACACAAATAACACCTTTATAAGTTCACAGTTATGTACAAAATCGCAATATCATAACTTTATAAGTCAAAGATTCACCGCAAGCGGTGCATTTAGTCGTTCGGGGAACTTCGGGCAAGTTCGATAAAGTTCGTATACTTAGAGTTTCCGCTGCGTTTAGACAACTAACAAGAAACTAAGGGCAATCATTTGAAACTGTTCAGGAATTTGATCACTGTATTTAGTTATGAACTTTCGCAATGTTCCAATAACCCTTGAGTGTTCTGGTACTTGTCTATTGTGAACTTGGTCGCTTTTTGATGTTTCTGATTGTGTCAAATTTATCTATTACATCTTCTACTTTATTATATTGACATAAAGTTCAAAATCCAATAAACAAAATTATAGATTGATCTGCTTGATCAGCTGGCTACTAACATTTTTTATTACTTTATTTGCTCTGCTTATGTAGCCGTCCCTGTATATGAGCACTTTATGTTTTAAGAAAAAAAATTTAACACAATTTTTTTAAGTCGAGATGAAGATTTCAATTGTAACACAGATATAATAAAATTGGTTTTTAATCACCACGGTACATACCATTTGGAAAATCAAATCTATACAAAAAGACGGACCTCTGAGTTTGTTTCGGCATTTGTTCTTAGCGTAGTCAGTCAGAAAATGATGGCCTCATCGCAGAGGCCAGATATCATTGTAGCCTATTTGCAGACATAAATTCACTTGTTGACTTGACTTGACTACCTCGTTGACCGACTGGTCGCAAGTGCGACTACCGGGCAAGGGGTCGCGAGTTCGATTCCCGGGTCGGGCAAAGTATTACTGGGTTTTTAAAAAATCTCAGTAGTAGCACTATACCTGGGATTGTGCCCGGTATATGGCCATAGGTTCACCCCTTATAACATGGGACTCATAAAATAAATAGTAAAACGTGGGTGTTACATTGTACAGTGGAATTAAGTGCCGGGGAAAAAAAGACGTGAAATTATGTTATATTAAATTAACTTGTTTTTCGATCATAATCCAAAATCAGACAAAACCAATCAGGAAAATATGTAACGAATATAAACAAAAAACAGTTTATCTCCACTACTTTTTTTACTTGATAAGGATCACAGCTTTTTCCTAGATAAAACATAATAACATAAGAACAGTTGCCGCGTGTGATAATTAACACCTTATCTCTACTCTGTGATGCCGCCGACAGTACTAATGAAACTTTCCTTATAATATTTTAATTAATGGCATTCGATCATTTAATTGGTCTCACTAATAAATTGTCTGGGTCTTATCATCAGCAGACATGTCTCCGGTTATTAGGTCGACCATTGTACTATATTTCATGCATGATCCATTCATTATTTTGTATTATTGCTTTAGTTGTCGCTAGTGTGATTATTGGACTTGTCTTGCATTCGATATTAGGATTGGACAAGGGTTAGGAAAAATGTAATATGTTTCTTATGGTGGAAATACTATGTACAGTTAACTAATTTACATACAGGGTGATTCGGCATTTTTTAACCAAAACCAAAAATGTTGAATAACTAAGCAACTAGGCACTTTCGTACTAGGGAATTCTGGCCTAATTTTGAAGGGAATAAGGTATTATCACCTCCCGAGACGAATACGTCGAGTTACAAGTCACCCTGTAAGTATACAAGTAAGAAAATATAAATTAATTTAGTACATATACAGACACTAATAGGCTTAGTTATAAAGTATACAATTTAATATGGCACTAATAGCTACAGTTTCTGCTCAACAATAATTTTTATTTTTTAATCAGCAGCTGTAGCCAAATGCCATTGAACGCTTGTCTAACTGTAGAATAGAAAAACTATTATAGAAATGTAGAAATGTATAATAGAAAATATAGTTCAGTCACAACAAATTCTTTGTAAAATGACAGAGACGGCACGATATTTAAGTACAACTTAAAATTGAGTAGCCTTTCAGTATTCGGGCGTATAACTGGTTTTTGGGAGTAAATCGACTTCTAGAGCAAGTAAGACTGAACCCAACATTTTACATAGATTCTAGTTTGAGTATTGTGGAAAAATGTACTAACAAGGTACAAAAAAATTACGGAGTCGCGGAAGGCCTAACGGGTTGCCGAGGCTCCGGCTCGAAGAGCAGGAGTAGGAACGGGGTGGTTTTTGGTCAGTAAGAGTCTGACACTCCTTCTCGCCTTACCTGGGTGAGAGGTGATTTTCATCCCTCAACAAAAAAAGGTACAAAACAATGTCCATCCTTGCCAAAATAGTAAAATGTTTTCCTATACGTAGGGGAAGAAAATTCGAACGTGATTTTTCTCGAACAAAAAATGAAAATTGGTTTCTCATTCGTTTGAAGATCGTTGGTCAAGACAACGATGATCGATCATCCAAACAGGACATAAATGACGACGGTTATTTTTTTTTCATCTTTTAGGTAGGTACGATGAAATCACACCATTTCAAGGTAAGTAGGTAAATTATGATTCTGATTATTATTTTTCAATAAAGACTTTTACTATGAAATTCGTCACTACTGTTTTTTATACTTGATTGGTCGACGTTTGGCCTCCATCTCGCCTGGTAGTAGGCGATGATGTGGCCGACGATTAAACACAGCTACTTATGAGCAACCTGTTCACTCGGGACTTGAAGACACCCAAGTTATATTTGACGGGAACCACAGATTCCGGCAAGGAGTTATTTATGGAGACTTGACAAGAAACTCGAGCCTTAGGGATGATATTGGTTACTTTTGGCATGTCCTAAGCAGGAAAATAGTTTTCTTTTAAAAATTTCAAAGTCATTTATCCTATTAAAAAAATGTAAGGACAAAAATGAAATCTATGAAATTTAATTTAACTTACTGGCCAATTTGCCCTGAACTAAGATTCATAAAGTTCCAAGTTTTCGTGGATTAACGGTCGCGCTAGTTTCGCGTGGGATGTAGACGGGCGTACTTTGGGCGCAGTTCCAATTTTTGGCGGTCACACAAAAGATTTGTTGATTGTAAATAATACGAGTTCAGCAAATAATTTTGGTTTCTACAAGCTCTTTTACCTATACTTAGTTGAACTACAGTGCTGTAAAGCTTTTCACATATTTTTGTTTGCCAAGATTTGAATAAACTTTATGTAGGTGCTATTTTTTTCCCTTTGAGAAGTTATGCTGTAGTTTTTCTGCAGTGTTTGTGTTACAGTATGAGTTCCTGCGGACGGCGAGCACGGGTGACTCGCCGCCCGACCAGGACCAGGCCCGAGCGTACGGCGCGTCGCGTTCCGCGCGCGCCTCAAGGAGCCATCAGACCACCACAGATGGGGCCTAACAGGGCTGATGCCAATAAGGAGCCGCGGAAGACTTAACGGGTTGCCGGGGCTCCGGCTCGAAGTTCAGTAGGAACGGGGTGGTTTTTAGTCTGTAAGAGTCTGACACTCCCTCCCACCTCACCCGGGCGGGAGAAGTCATTGGATGATTTTATCCGTTCAAAAAAAAAAAGACATGATGGTACTGAACTAAAGATAAATGATTAAACAAATTTTCTTAATACCTAGGAGTCTTTGAAAGCCTGGTAGCTAAAATAAAATATACTAATACTTTACCAAAATGCAATTGAAATAAAAAATACCACAGAATTCCTCTATCTTAAGCCTCGTCTAAAATCAACATGGCAACAGAAAAACACAGAAGCCTCCAGAACATTTACTTTATACAAATGAGTAATTGGCTTGGTTAAGCAAATGTAGGCAACGTCAAAGTAAGACGTTATTTCGTACGCAACGAAATCTTTCCCTCATTTTGATGACGGCAGCTTCGTCAATTCAATTATGCAGATTTCCATGGAACTTATAATCAAAGAACAAAACTTTTGAACTGAAATACAAAGGCAAGACGCTAAAAAGTGGCTCCTAAATGTAATCGTCAAGGATTTCTTGTTGATTACAATTCTTGATGGCAATTAGTCTAGGCGAGATACCTATTTAATTTGTTTAAAAAATTTGGTGACGCCAATAACTTAATATATAAATAGGATCACGGACTTTAAATATTTATTTATCTCAACTCAATACAATAAGGGTATACAGGTGGACTTAATGCCATAGGCATTGTGTCCCTGTCAACTTTTAAGCAGGGCAGAGATGAAAGTAGCGTAGTAGGTAAGTGATTAAGTAAGTATTGTAGATTTGTGATTAGCAAAGTAGTAGTAGGTGATTAAGTAACCTTTAAAAAGAAGCAAGACTTTGATATTTTAGGATTGAACGATTAGAGATGATAGAAGCTAGGAACATAAATATAACATCACGCCTTTTATCCCTGAAGAGGTAATCAGATGTGTATGTTACGGCACTTAATGTCACTATACAATGTAACACCCACTTTTCACTATTTATGTTATGAGTTCCATGTACGCCATTACTGAGTACGAATTTAGAAGCATAGTTCTTGATCAAATTTTAAAAAAAAATATTAATTCTGCTATACCCATGAACTGAAACGAATCTCTATGTAAGGGATATCAATTAAAAGTTTGTTAGGAGGTATTTCGTTTGTTATAAGAATTCGAAATATATTCGTAAGAGAAAACATTATTTTAGGCACAAATTGTCCTTAAATAAACATTAAAATGAGGAGACAGATTCGTTTTCTTTAATTAACGTGACAGTCGAAATAGTGGGCGGACTGGGCGGTAATTGAAATATTACGATCTCCAACTATTTTGAAACCAATTTATCAAAATATATTTTTTCTCAGAATAGTTACAAGAAGGCTTATTTTATTTATTTTTCGATATTACAAGAAACTTTTTCTGTAACTTTTATTTTAGATACGTTTTCTATGGAATAGGAAAAATGAGTGGACGGTAAGTTATCACAGCTGTTTTTAGATATTCCTTAGTTATCCACAAAATCATAATTCTATATATCTTATGGACATAACCTACTAATTTATATGAGTACAATAATTCTTATGCAAACTACGTTTAAATAAATCTACTTCAACCCCTCTTTTTAGGAAGTCGGTTAATTAAGATACTAAAACCTTAAATGTGACAAAACTTTCTAAAAACCCATCAAAATTGGTGCAGCCAATCGCGAGATAATCGCGCACCAACATACATACACACAGATCAAACTGACAACCTCCTTCTTTTATCGAAGTCGGTTAAAACTGTGACATATTATATCGAAAGATTGTATTTCATCATCATCACCATCATCATCATCATCATCAGTTTATAAGTGGTCACTGCTGACCAAAGGCCTCTTCTCACACGGAGAAGGTTGTATTTAATGACGAATTAGTCTTAGATTCTTCAACTTTACTTTAAACAAACGAACCTCACAACCCGCCAGTCTACAATTTTAGCGGTTGCACCTTACAACAGTTTAATTTATCTCTGGTCGCTAATGAAAACATTATTTATGATGTACTCATACCCCGCCCCCTACATTTAGTATAAATCTGGCCGGATAAGTAACCCTTTACGCACGGTATTTAGACTCGGGGAACATTGTCAGTTGGTACCACGATTTGTAAGAACTTTGAAGTGAATTAGAATGTATTCATTATGTGAGTTTTGAGCTTGGATTATGATACAGAAGAGTTATAGGCAGATGAAAATGAAGAAAGATGAGATGAATGACGAATGGACATATTACGGGCTAAGCTTTAGAAAATAATTTTTAATTTCGAAATCACAACTTCACACAGACATAAGTAAAGTACCCATTTTTCACCAGTTGTGTTAATAGGTTTTCCTAAGCCTATTGCCAGTACCAGCCCAGATTATGGAACCCACCTATATATCCATATTGATCAATTGTAACAAACACGACACATAAAGAGGCAAACTGACATTATAGTTTGTTTTTAACGTAATTTTTAGGGCCAAAAGTCACGGTCAAGACTCCGAAATTAATAGGTCAAAAAGTTTTATCAATGTATTAAATGTAAACCAAAGTAGACTTACCTCAAATGGTTCAGATATCAATAACGGTAAAGCTGATGATGACCACGCCACACAAACGCCAGCTGCAAACGCGCCAAGATTGACTGCCGAGAAGAAAATACATTGTTTGGTAAAGTAAAATGTCACAATCATATTATCCCAATATATAGCAGATCCCCACGACCTTTATTACGTATGGTCTGACTGATCACCTTGAGTTAATTATCTTGGTTTAGTTGTAATCGCACAAAATAAATGTTAAAGGTTTCTTTGTTTGGATGTCTGGATGATTGTCCGTCAAACACGCTAAAACTACTGGATGAATTTTGATAAAATTTGGTATTCAGGTAGGGGTATAGGGCTGACTTAGGTGATAGGACTTTTTATCCCGATAAAATTTTTTCATATGATAAAACAGGAATACACGGGTAAAGCTGCGTGTAAAAGCCAGAATTTGATAATTATGTAAATGTCAAAATGGTCAAGGAACCTTACCTATCCCCGTAGCAATGTATTGTGTCGTAATGCCAGAAGTATCTCGTTTGATATCAGGAACTGTTTCCATTCGTTTCAACATCTTCTGGTTCATTCCATTCCTGTTTGTTGGTTCTTCTATCGGTTCTCCATTTTGTGCTGATGCTGCTGCCGCTTCTGCGTCCACTGTCGATGTGCTTTGCTCTTCCACTGTACAAGAAGATATAAGTGTTAGTAACAGTCTTCGTGAAGTCTAATCATTCATTACTATCAGTTCATTACTATCCAATTTGATAGCGTACCACATTTAACATTAATATTGGACTATCAGTTTAATTTTCTTTTTCAGTTTTTTATGATCAAATTCAATAGATAGTAGACCCTTTTACACGTTTAAGTAAGTTGAAATTAAATTAAAATTGCATTTACCCAAAATTACCAAAGATGGCACTGAACCTAAGTGGTACTCAAATGGTCTGAGAGTGGAACCACTAAATGGACGAGGGCGTTCCAGTATATTTGCTGCGGTACCTTTAGTGAAATTTAATGTTTCAAGACACTATCAACTTTAGTTTTCATATAAATAAGATCATAATTGGTTTGACTAACAATAAATTGAAATGGAAGCTCTGATTCTTTAGAAAACCCTATTCAAAAACTGCACAATGTCATCCCTAAATCACTAGTTAGTAAGCAAGTATAGTTCTGTCACTGCAAATTCTTTGTAAAAAGACAGAGATGGCACGATATTTAAGTACCTTAAAATTGAGTAGCCTTTCAGTATTCAGGCATAGGTCATACAATGTAATATGAATCCTAAGCACATGTAGTAGAAACCATTGTCAAAGAGGCTTCTCGTAAACTATTTGCCGCCAACACACAAGACGCCACAAATTGGAACTAGCTATAACCACTAAACGCGGTTACACTGCAATTTCCATAGAGCGAAAACCTTATAGATAGGGCTTTTTTTAAGTGAGGAAAATCGTCGAATGACTACAATGAGTGTCAGACTCTTACTGACTAAAAATCACCCCGTTCTTTCTTTTGCACTTCGAGCCGCAGCCCCAGTAACCCGTTAGGTTTTCCTCGACTATAGATAGGGCTATGAAGTGTATTTTGAAGGTGAGCAAGAATTTTATTACAAAAAAAACCTTCAGTGAACAAATCCTTCAGTGTTATATAATACTAGCGACTAGTTCTGGTTTCGTACGGGTGCAATATGCATGTATTATAGATATAAAGCTTCTTTACGGATTAGTTCCTCACACACACAATCACACACATCAAAAACCGCATCAAAATTCGTTGCGTAGTTTTAAAGTTCTAAGCACACATAGGGACAGACAGACGGCGGATAGCGACTTTGTTTTATACTGTGTAATGATGTAGTATAAGATAAATAACATTCTTTACTTAGTTTTCATAAGTGATATTGTAGGTAGGTATATCACATGCCACTTATAATCTAAAGAGGAATTTTGGGTAGGTATGCATTACAGAGTCAAAAATGATAACATAAAATAATATCAATTTCAATAGTTATGTAAAAGCGATAACTGCATTTGTAACATAATACAATGTCTTATGCAATTTAATTTCGATATATGAATACATTGTTTTGACAAAGATAGACTAGGTGTCAACAATTAAGATATTCTTGGTTTTATTAACCTTACTTATCTTGTGAAACCAAAACAATTGTTGGATAACTGAGATATTTGCTGTACCTATAAGCCTCTTTTAGTATTTTTACTTTGATTACTTTCCTTGTAGATAAAGAATTTATCAAAGCAGAACTTATTTAATGTTATGTGAACGTTTCAAAACAATGTAGCGAATCAGCTATGCCATTAATGAAATCGTCATAAACGGTAAATTAAAAAAAAAATGCGGAATAAAAATCAGTTTTGTGTCAACTCATTCAGAATAGGGTAGTTTCCTAAATTATATTTAATGTCCGTCTGGTACAATAATTTAAAACTTTAGACACGTATTTTTTCTTTTCCCACAAAATTAAATATTTTCGACGATATATTAATTTGTGTCACATTTTGTAGCACGTTATGACGTAAGGACTTCCCACTCCTAAACTTAGCGCCATTTTATCTAAGTATTGCAACTTAATACGAGAAAATAAAAAATACGTGTCTAATATATTTTTTATCTGACAGACTAATTAGATCTTTAATTTTGATACCCTGGAAACTACCCAATTCTCAAACATACTATTTTTTTTTATTTGATTGGCCGACTCGTTTTTTGACCTCTATCTCGCCTGGTGGTAACCGATGATGCGGTTAATGGTGGAGCACGTAAGTAGTCCTTTAAACAACTTATTGGCTATATTTACTTTTTGCCACGTCTAAACCTAACATACCTCTATGTCTGTCGATCCTAGCGTTTCCTGTACTCTACAATATTGTAGGGCGGAGGTACTGGCAAGGATTTTATTTATAGGAAGTTTTCTATTTATTTTTATAAAGGTTTACTGAGAAAAATCACGGTACGTACTATTAAGAACTCACGTTTTACTAAACCGGTTAAAGTTGGGACAATTTTGATTGAGTTTTAAAGTTACACCGTTTGGGTGAGTTTAGTCTTCGTTAATTTGAACGAACACGATTACTCAGTAATTTATTTTAAATGAGGAACTCTCACATTAAGTTTACCAATGAAAGCTACATCATCGCTTACCACCAGGCGAGATAGTGGTCAAACTTCAGTCCCATCTAATATATAAAAAAAATATATTTTCTACAACAAACTAGACTAGATTCAAATATTTTCTTAACCAATCCATTATAAGTCTCTGTTTCCTTATAATTTATTATGATCAGTCACAATCTACAATTCGATCGTATATTTAATTATTGAAAATAGAATTTTGACAAAACTTTTGGAGCTTGTGTACCGGTAAGGGATGCAAAATGTGTCAAGAGTCTCAACAAGTCTTAGTGTATTATTTTCTAACCATTTCAAGACAACACCACCAAGACTCACTACACGAACTCCTAAATAAGTTTAGCAGTGTCACAGTAAAATTCAGATTGGCCCATTATAACAGCCATTAACAAACTAAAGTTAACAAATAAAATGAAATAGTTAATGACAATGAGTCATCTAAATCATAAAATTTAATTACCCTTCATACTCATTCATAACAAATTTCCATTAGATGTAAACATTATAATTATAACTTATATCTCCTACAAGTTCAAATGACAAACGTAGACACACACTGAGACTAGATTACAAAATTACACAAAAAGCAACTATGCTATCCATATCATAAGGTTGGATTTCACATCTTAAGTATTACTACAGACCATGAAATACTGATTTCACGCTAGAAGACACTGTATACTGAAGTGATAAAGATGTTTTTGCTGTGAATAAGTTACAACTGACCGTAGTTATGACGTCTGATAATATGATTATAGTTCAGGTCACTTTACTACCTACTTCTGAAGCAAAACAAGTTAATTGATGCACTTATATGCTATGAACCGTTTGCTTTAGAACTGTTGAAGAGCAAAGAAGGGTAAAAAATGACTGTCAAAACTGGTCTATAATGGTACTGTTATACACACTAATATCAAGCACAAAAGCATGCTTCAATTGATCACTTGTCACTTAGTAGCATGTGTGTCGAAATGTTGCTCAAAATTGCCAAACGCCACCTTAGCGCTTGTCTACAGAGAGAGTAGAAAACTAAATGTATGTGGATAACACTGACAAATGTCAAAATTTACGTCAATTCCATATAATTTCGTTTTGTACTCTACAAGACGACAAGCGCTAAATGGTATTTGGCTACAGCTGCAGGCATGTTTGCGAATCGATAGGCGTTCGATTTTTGAATTTTATTTCTAACCAATATGTAGTCTTTTAGTCGAGACTGATAGAAAAGTAATATTATGATTGAATCGAACAACAGACCAAATAAAATACTTTATCAAATTGGCATTGACTAAGTAACAAATTGAGGTTACATTCTGACCTAATTATGAGATCAATAAAAAGTATCATGAACAGTTTATTATTAAAAATGTATACACAAACTACGTGTCTAAATTACGTTTAAACCGTAGATTTTAGAATTGTTTCCCAAAGTCTAATGAAGTTCATTATTCAGGTGTGTTCAAGGATTTTTCTTTCTTTCTCATGTGTTTAGCTACCAACAACTATAAGATTTTCGGTTTCCAAAAAAACACTGAAAATTTTGTTAAAAATTCTGCATCTTTTAAACACTACATCATTCACTATAATTCCCAAAAACTCATAACGCAATTAAATATTCATAATTAATAAGATTATGCAAAAAAACAACACACTAAATCCGTTAAATAATTTGAAAACAAATTAAAAAACTCCAAGACTCAATAAAAGAAAAAAAAACACAACCACGAAACGATACGAAACTTTGACGTCACAACAAAAAAAACAACAACACTAATACAAGTCAAGGTCAAATCATAACAAGAAAAAATCACCTACTTTGATTTTCCAAGTACAATCGGCGACAACTGCACTTTATTTAAAAAAATATATCACAGACTAGAAATGTCTAATAGAAGGGGCTGCATCGACGACTGACTGTTCAATAACATAATCTTGATAACACCGGACGGATACGTCAAAAATAATAAGTCAGGGATGAACAAGCTTGGGTCGCTTTGTATCAGTAACTGGACGAAATGTGGAATAACGATATTATGATTTGTTTTTGTATGGCTTGCCTTTTTTGTCTGTGTGGGGAAGATATGAATGGCAGTGATTGGTGTAAAAATTTTTTGAAATATTTCCCAAGCCATGCCATATCTTCAAGATTTTAAGAAAAGGGTTAACCGTTCCTTTTAAAATGGTCAACAATATACTCGTAACTCCTATAGTGATGCTGGTGTTCATAATTAGTACTGATCACTAACTACCACGTCAATTTAGTGATCATGTGCCAATTAATTTTGAAGAGAAAAGCTGTTTTAACAATTGAAAACTTATTCGAGAGTCTATAACAAAAAAAGGAGGTACGAAGTTAATATTGTATAGTTGCAAATTCAGTAATAATTCTCAGGTATGTAATAAATCAATGAGACAGCTGGAAATTTGGTAAACAATTACATTTTGTCAGACGCTAAACGAGTGAAAAATATAACATAAAACATAACATCACGCCTTTTTATCTCCGAACGGGTAGGCAGACATTACGGCACTTAATGCCACTGTAAAATGTCACACCCATTTTTCACTATTTATATTATGAGTCCCATGTAATAGGGGGTGAGCCTATTGACATATACCGGGCACACTTCCAGACACCGTGCTACTACTGAAATTTTTAAAAACCCAGTAGGCAATACTTTACTAGGTTTTTAACACCACTTAAAACAAACTTATACTGAAAAATATCTTTAAAACAAAAGCCAACTTATTTTCTAATTGACTTACATTTCAAAACAGATCAAATAGCAGGTGCGAACCAATTAAAAAATACAAGAGAACTTGGTATAAACAAGTTTACCAAACAATTCGGTTTTCTCACCGCCAGTCATTCGCCATCTTGGCTTTTCTTAATATCCCTAATTTTCTTTGGTTAACGGAAACTTCCCTTTAATGAAAATTACACCAGAATCGTTCGTTAATTTATTTTATTAATTGACGGTTAAGATTTCCTCGTATTCTAAATTATTGAGGGTTATCGAGATTTTACTTCGGAGATTGTTCGGGAATGATTTTGTATTTGGAAAAGATGGTTGTTGTATCATTTTAAAGATTTCATATAGGTAGCACTACGCTATCAAATAAAATAATTAATTATGCTAAAATTATTACGTTGGTGGGCAAGGGGTCTTGGGTTCGATCCGGGTTCGATTCGGTAGTCCCGATATATGGCAATAGGTTCACCTCCTATTACATGAGACTACAACATGTGGTTCTTCAAGAGGCGAGGGAATAGGTTTCTTAAGGGTCGGCAAGACGCATCTAATGCTCCAAGTGTTGCAGGCGTACATAGGCCACGGTAACCGCTTACCATCAGGTGGACCGTGTGCTTTTTTGCCACCGTCGTGGTATAAAAAAAACATGAGACTCATAACATGAATTGTGAAAAATGGGTTACACTGTACGTGACATTAAGCGCCGCAATGTGCACAATTGCACATGTGTGCTAAAAAGGCGTGTTAGAATGTATTATTAGTGACAACTTTTTTGATACTTTAAATAACTTATCAGTAAGTCCTCGAAAAACAATCTATTGAATATTGTCGAACATGCTGATGAACACGACTGTAGTCAAAAATATCTAATTAGGATTAAGTGCTAGGTGGTCTCAAAATATGATTTGTTACATCACTAAATGATTAATTTATTACATTAATTCTTAAAATAGTTTTTGAGATGCCACTATGGTTTTATAGTTGTAAATTGCTGCAAGTAAGGTTCAAGATTTCTTCCTGATAAAATCAGGCAATGCATTACATTGTTAAAAAGTAGTCTTATAAGTTCTTTCTATTCTAGTACATTCTTGTATTCAAATTAATAATTGTACCCTTAATTAGATGTTTAGGTGTATTAGAATTATAATACAATTTGTACTGAAAATTTGCCAAGCGGTTTCATTTAATATGTGTTTTTAAATAGTAAAGTTATACCCTTCCTGAGCAAAAATAAACCAATACTTTTCCTCTATTTCCTACTACTTGAAATTCCTCACTCTATTTTCCTTTTAGCGGAAAAAAGCCAAAAAACAAGAGAATATAAATCACGGCTACTGTTTCTGTACCTCTGGCGCGATACCCCCGAGTTGTCCCGTAACCTCCCGCCTATCTGTCTTAACACTAAACGCCTATAAACACGCACAGATAAACTGTGTGACTATCGACGTGATTTTTATAAATAAAATTATCTTAAGTTAAATAAAACCTTCGTAAATGTATGTTAAGTTTAAGAAGTAATAACCTTGTCTAATGTTATTATAAAAAAATGTATCTTTTTTATTAAAGTACTTTTTAATTATTAATGTAGACATGGGTATTTTAAGATGCATTTTATTTTATTGTTTTTACTTTTTTAAAGGTAAGATATTGTGTTGAGGCATTTTGAAATTCTTAATTTAACTTTTATTGTTGGTGGAGTCTTTGTGGTCAATTACCAAAATAAACACAAGTTTATCACTTTAAAATATTTTGTTAATAGCACTTTGCTGTGGGTGCAAAACATAATCTGCATCGACCTTTTTAAAGCCATGCTGACGTCCATGATGACGGATTATAATCTGCTAGAAATAAAAGAGTCTGTTCTGCAATAAGAATAAGGTGCATTATTATCTCTAAAAATGTTTAACCTTGGCACTAAAGTTTACAAAATATTATATTTCAAAACTTTATAAAAATATTCTTCACACTTACAACAAAATAATCTCATCACTGAGTCATTCACGGGTTTTTTTAACATTCACCGAAATTTGAAGAAAATACTTTATTATTATTCTTACTATTACTATATACTTATTCTATTTTCGCGAAAACTATGTAGGGTAAATGTACATGTTTGCGTCACAACTTAGTTTGTGGCTCCCCTGTGTCGTTTCTACTTATCTAAGGTGACTGAGTCGGTCTAAACCGTCCCACTCATTATCGTTGGGATGGGACAGACAAAAACGTGTTATCTCACCCTATAGACGCGATAACTTGTGATATTTTTAAGTTTTTTTTTTAACAATGTTTCGCAGATAAGGGGTGTGTGTTTGCTGTTTTATTTAATGTGAGTTGTTTTGTTTTATGGACGGTTGTGTTTATGGTGTGTATTACCGTATAGTGATGGTAATATATTAAAGTTACAAACCCTATTCTTTCTGTGCATGTTGCAAGAGTTGAATTAGGCACTGCATACAGGATGTAAACTGTAAAAGGAACGCTCCCGAAACGCTGCCAAAAAGAAATTATTTTTACAATTATAATCGTTTTTGTTTTATTCGTGCGATATCAGCCTTGAGCAGTAGATTATAATTATCATTTCATTAAAACCATTAGGGTACATGTCAAACGATGCCGGTTTTTACTTGACATAATTACCTATTTATTTATTTTTTAAGGGGGTATAATCATCGAATGACTCCTCCCACCTGGTGAGGCGGGAGGTATCAGACTCTTACTGTCTAAAAATCACCTTGTTCCTACTCCTTCCCTTCGAGCCGGAACCCCGGCAACCCGTTAAGTTCTCCGCGGCGACATAATTACCTATATGGCGACAATGCGCGACTTACGTCCACTGGTCTGCTGCGACGTAGATATTGCCAGGCATGTCGACCAAAGTCCGGCAACGTCGCACTACTTCACCCAATGTCGCGATACGTGTCGCAGGTCGTTTGTCCCTGTATAACAAAGTACAAAGTAATGTACAAAGACAGGGCAACAGCACTCTCTGACAAACCATAACTTTTTAAAAAGTGACCCGGCTACCAAGCGTGGACACAATAGCAAATCCCTTATATGTAGAGGATGCTCATAGACTAGCAGAATGGACTAACGGTGTTGTTAATAAACATGATGAATGCAAAAAAGAAGATGAGAAGAGAGTGGTAGGTATCAAAAGTATTCTACTCTAGCGTCATCATAATATGATATGAGATAAGGGCTCAGCACACGATAGATTATTATCAGGATTGCGGATAACGGGGCTCCCACTCGAAATAGCAGTAGGAACGGAGTGGTTTTTTGTCATAGAATCTAATATTCCCTCTTGTAAAAGCACGCATTACATTAACATCACGTAATATCACACTTTTTATCCCCGAAGGGGTAGATAAAGGTATATGTACATTACGGCACTTAATTCCACTGTACAATGTAACACCAACTTTTCATTATTTATGTTATGAGTCCCATGTAATAGGGGGTGAGCCAATTGCAGACTCCGTGCTTCAACTGAGATTTTTTTTTAAAATGGCAATTATACTTTGCTCAACCCGGGAATAGAACCCGAGACCCCTTTCCTAGCAGTCGCACTTGCGACCCCTTGGCCAATGAGGCATTACATCTACATAATATACATGTTCTATATCATAGTCTTCATCATAGTATCTAGATATACATGTTCTATTTAGAAAAGGTATGGCAAGTGAACAAATGCGATGTAATCTGATAACAAAAGATGTTCCATTACTCATCGGTCATTTAGATAAACGATACTTCTGGAATGATGAAAGAATATTCGCGCGTTAATTGAAGCTTCCTCGGAGAAATCTTAGTTCATAGTTTATGTATCATATTCTGTTTCATCTATCATCATCTGTGAAATGGCGTGTGTGAAGGTCTAGTTGGTGACGTAGGTTATAAGTAAAAAGGTCTTAAGTTTGAACGTCTATTCAAACAATAGATCAATAATGAACTTCATAAAATCATATTGAGGTAATGATTTTTTTTAAAGGACATTGACCTGTTGATCTCCTCCAATAACAATGACCCACAAGACAATGACGCATGACACTCAACTCCAAAACAACAAGGTGTGGATCACGTAGAGTTATTTCGTGCGGGAATCGAACCCGCGACACGTTGCACAGCCGCCAGTTGGCCGGCCACCGCACCAACTATACATTCCCGACTGCACGTACGACTGCTGAAACAGACGTTAAGGGTAGATCGGTCCCGAGCGTACGGCGCGTCGCGTTCCGCGCGCGCCTCAAAGAGCCATCAGACCACCACTGATGGAGCCCAGCAGGGCCGATGCCGATTCGGATCGCGGAGAACCTAACGGGTAACCGGGGCTCCGGCTCGACGTGCAGGAGAAGGAACGGGGTAGTTTTTAGTCAGTAAGGGTCTGACACTCCCTCCTGCCTCACCCCTAGGCGGTAGCAGTCATTCGATGATTTTCCCCCCATAAAAAAAGGGTAGATCGGTCCGGTTGGGAAAAGAAGTACAATAGAACCTCAATTATAGAAACTCAGAGAAGTAACTGCGTCACCAATAGTAGTTTTTAATAATATGGGCACGTATAATTGTGTATATTTTTAATAATATCAAAAAACCAATTTGTATTCGTTCAGTATTTAAATAAAAATGAGTAATAGGTATCTAATAAATGTTGGTATTTTCTATCTAAGATTAATCATCATTTTTTGTTCGTCGTACCTAATCATAATTTGTTCAATTTTAGTAAAGACTTGTATTGTATATTTTTAGAAATATTCACAATAATATTTGTCTTTTAATATAGGTACTAACCAGATTGGCGATATATTAAAGAAGAGCCAAATTAAAATTATTACCCAACCCGAACCGACGAGCATGCATGAAAAGATTGATGACTGTTGATGAAGCGAAAGAGGTATGTAGGAATCGTAGTAATTGGCATTGCATAGTCTCTGCCTACCCCCATGGGAGACAGGCGTCAAGTTATGTATGTATGTAATATTTTTCTTCATACTGAAATTTTATTCAATCATTCTAAAATATAACATCCCATAATATTAGTATTCGTGTCATCTTATTATAGAAAAATAATGCGAATTTTATTTACATGAGAGCATCATCGCTTACTTTACCACCAGGCGAGAGAGA